AAGGAGTCTCCATAATGAAATAGCTTTTTTTCTCTTGAAAGAAGCTTTAGTCATTCCTCCTGCCTAGTTAAAACTTAAACATGGAACATTTCTTTTGAAACTCACCCAGAGGGAACCTGATGGACCACTGCTAGCTCTACTAAAACACCTCTAATGCATGCTCACCTTGATCAGGCTATTTTTTTTTGTTTTGTTTTGGTGGTACTGGAATTTGAACTCAGGGTCTCATGCTTGCTAGGCAGGTGCTTTACCACTTGAGCCACTCCACCAGCCTATTTTGTGTGTGTGTGTGTGTGTGTGTGTGTGTGTGTGTGTTGGGTTTTTTGAGATAGGGTCTTGGGAACTATTTGCCCAGGCTGGCTTCAAACCATGATCATCCTGATCTCTACCACCAGAGTAGCTAGGATTTGAGGTGTGAGCCCCAGCACCCGGCTTGATCAGGCTATTTTAAGTTGCTTTTTCAGATATTTTGAGACAGCCTTGTCTGCCTCAAACTGACTGAAGCACCTGCAAAAGTATCTGATGGGAGACCTTTTGGTGTTAGAGGGTCAAAAACTCCACTCTCAGGTCATGGTGAGGCAGCCATTTTCTGAATATGTGTCCTGTGAAAAGACATGAAGTTTGTTTGCACACGCACACACATCATCAATGCTTCACCTTTCACCACACCATCCTGTTTTTTTCCATCCCACAAATACCCCTAAAGCCTAATCCTTGGGGAGGTGAATGTAAGATCAGGGACTGCCTGCTTATTCTTGGCCATCTAGTGAATTAAACTCTCTTTTGCAAAACTCACTGCTTCAGGGATTGACTTACTGGGCGGCAGGTGAAGATGAGCCTGGTTCAGCAACACCGCCCGAAACACTCTATAATCCCAACAAGTTCCTGCACAGAAACCCGGGCCAGGTGCTGAGGAGGCTTCTCGGGAGTGCGTGGAATCTGCCTGGTGTATGCCTGCCATCGGACACGGCAGAAACAAACTGAAAGCAGAGCGAAGGAGGGGTGAGGGTGCTAGATGTTAATGGTTGGTGGCTCTGACCCAGCCAGCTTGGTCATTTCCCAGGTCCATTTGTCTCAAAAGGTAATAGATCTGTAGTCTTGCTCAAGTTCCTTCAACACATAAGCAAAACATTCATATGGTACACTTCACTTTCTTTGAAGGATTTTTGAGCATTAAACCTTATTACATCAGAGCAGGTGTTCATTCACTCATTTCAACAAAACACAGGCAGGAATGGGTGCAGGCCCAGGAGCCAGGAGGGCAGCAGGACTAAGAACTGCCAGCATTTACCGGGTATTTACTAAGAGCCAGATGCAGTTCAAGGGCTTTTCACACTTAGGCCTTAAAGCCTCACGATGGCACTTGGGGTCTCGAACTATTTGCCTGGACTGGCCTCAGACCACAATCCTCCTGAACTCAGTCTCCCAAGCAGGTAGGATTAGAGGCATGAGTCACTAGCACCTGGCCACCTGGTGCTATTATTGCTCTTGTGTTATGGCTCCAGAAACTGGGGCAGTCCCCAAAAGGTAAGGGCTGCATCTGACATGTCAATCCTGAAAGGCAGGCTCAGCGCCTCTGGCCTAAACCACGCAACATGGAAGCCTGGGGCAGCTGCAGCTCGTGTGCCTTGGGGTCCTTCAGACCAAGCAGGGCCTGCCTAGTGTGGTCATTCCTGCAGGTGAACCTGACTTGCTTATCCAAACTGTTCAGAACAGGGTATTTGGACAATTTTGATTTTCTACATTAGAAAATGTTTTTGTTCATTCTCTTCTCAGGGAAAGACTGGGGAAACCCCAGGCACTGAGGGGAATTCTTTGGCCATTCACCATGTAGCAGTATAGAGGGCAGCAAACATTTTCCTTCCCTGGGTCTCCTCCTCAGCCTAGAAACTCTAGTTTCCTGGGTGGTGAGAACAGAGCCAGGAGGCTGGCCTGAGAGATAGCCTTGCTCTGCATGTGTTACAAACCTGCCCCGTGCCCAGAGGCAGCAAAGTGCCCTGCACTGCCTGGAGCTTCTGTGGGAGTGGTAGCAGCGTGGGTGTGTGGTGGGGGAACAATAGCCCTGCAGAGCCCCACTGGAGCAGGGGTCCTGGCAGCTCCTTCCCCAGCTTGCTTCAAATGCAGCCTTAACGAAACTGGCCTCAGACCCACCTTGGCAATTTCAGCTCAGCCATGCCTAACTTTCCCCAACAGCTGCCTTTTGTTTCTTGGGTTTGTTACACTTGCAGAGTCAAACCTGGGTGATGTGAGCTTGTTAGACTGACTCCAGTTGTTGGGCCAGAATGCTATTGGTCAGAGGGGCTGAGCCCAAGAATCCTTGTGACAAGCACTCATGGGACTGGTGGGACCCCACTTTAAGCACCACCATTGCGGGAGTTGGGGGGTAAGCGCGAGGGGACGGGGGAAAGGGGAGGAACTGACCCAAACATTGTATGCACGTATGAAAAAAAAAAAAAAAAAAAAGCACCACCACTATGAGGCTTCTGAGCGATCTGCCTGGGTTTCCGGGGGAATATTTGCCAGCCTCTACACCACTGGATGGTGAACAGCCAAAGATTTTCCTTCAGGGTCTACTCGGGCCTGAGGTCAAACACAGTATCATCATCATCTCATTAAGCCACACAGCCATCTCACAAGGCTGTTATCCCACTCTACAGATGAGGGTACTGAGGCTGAGAAGTTACTGAGGGGGCAGGATCTTGAATCTTAAGGCTGACTTTAGCTAGGCGTAAGTATTACTAGAAACAGCTTTTTATTCTTTTTTGGGGGGACTGGTACTGGGGTCTGAACTCAGGGCTTCACACGTGCTAGGCAGGTGCTCTCCCACCTGAGCCACGCCCTCATCCCTAAAATTCTGCTTTTAGTCCTAGTTCTGGCTCTATCTCTTGTCATCTACTCAGCCTTGTTTTCTTAAATCTGTCCCAGCTAAGACGACAGTTCTGTGAGCCTCGCTGATTCTCGCTGACTGCAGCTGTAGCTGTTTTACAATGGGATTAGCATATCAAGAACTCTAAAAACTGGGCCACTTTAAAGAGCTCGGAGCCATTGCAAAAGTAGGGGCATCCCAAGTTCACCTCAAAAGAGAAAACGGTGGCTTTTAACAGGTTCCTCAGTGAATCCACCTACTGTAGTGAGAAAGCAAATCAACAGGTTCCCTGGCTTTGTACAGGATGCTGATCAGAGTATTGACAAAAAACAACTGCTGAAAGGGTGTAAGCTTCGGTTAGACCTCATCTGTGTCCTGAGGACACACATTGACTCCCCAGACACAGAAGAGACTTGACTGTGATGACTGATTTGTCACCAGGTCCCTTGCCTTGTTTTTCTGAGCAGGCAGCTATTGCTGTAGCACTGCCCGTCCTCCGCTACCGGCCAGGGCTGCTCAGCTTGGTGGTGGATCTTGGACTTTCACAGAGGAGCCAGTTCACCATCGCACCCTTTTCCCTCCAACTTGTTTGTGGAACTCGAGAGAAGCCTAACTCAACTTCTTGCACTGCAACATCTTGGAGCAAGGGACTGGCTCTCGGGGCATCCTGTTCCCCTGCCACACCTCAGTTGTCCCTTCTGGTTTGCCCCCTTGCTGCCTACTGGGTGCCCAGCTTCCTACACATGCCACCATCTTACCAACAGGGCTTCGCCCACAGCTCAGCCCTAACACCCATCCTGACCAAACCAACTTTGTGATATGTTTTTACTTATGGCCATGTCAGCCATGAAAGAACAAGCAAGCATGCTGTTGGGGGTGGGGAGCTTGCTAAACTGCCTGTCTGCTCATTCCCATTTCTCACTCCCATCTCCTTCCTCTGCCTAGAAGAGGAATGCCTTTGAGAAATAGGATCCTGCTCTCCCAGTAGCCCTGCTGTCCTTCACATAACCACCGCTTTGGGGGTTTGATGCTGCCTCTTGCAGAAACTTAACCCATCCATCAACTCCCATTAACCAAAGAGACACTATGCATGTTTTTTGATGGACTAAGCCCCAAGAACTTTTGACTTTGCTTCCTTCCTTGGTCTAGGAAAGCAGCACCTGTGGTGGGGTATTGTGGGGTATTTGGTGGGGGGAGGGAAGAGACTCCAGGGGTTCTTGTCTTCACTGGACTTAGGAATAAGCTCACAAGACACAGATAGTGCACACCCAGGTAGATTTATTAGAAAAAGAAAAGGCTGCAGCTAGAGCAGTGCCGCAGAGCCGGGAAGCCAGTGGCTTGCTGCTGAGGTGAAGGCTGGGGCTTTTTATGGACACTTTAACTCTGGGTTAGGGTAAGGGTTAGGTGGGTTCTTTCCACTGGTCATGGACTCACGTGCACGAGCTCTCTTTGATGAGCTGGTCTGTTTGCCCCTTATGGGGGGGGAACAACCTTGAGAGCATTCTGCCTATCAACCCCATGGCAGATTTATGAGACTGTGTATCTCCTCCTTAGGGTACAGGGCTCATAGTGCCCTCCATGGGGGATGGGATACTGACTCATTCTTCTGTCCCTTAGGTTCCCAGACCCAACACAGGGAAACCAAAGGTGAGCTGTGTTCTAGCCAGAATCCATTTCTTTCAAAGGTCAAACTAGTTCAGCCTGGAGTTGAGTCCACAGCTGATTTCACTTGCTGCTCATGGCTTTCTTCTAGCTCTTAGCAGCTCTGCTGCCTCCTATTCATGACTGGAACTCTCTAGATGAACACCTCTTTACACTGGTCACTCATTACCAGAAGAGTGCAGTCCACAGCTCTAGGCCATCAATCTCCGCAAAGGTCATTTGTTCAGCAGGAACTGGATCTAGCAATGTTACTGGAGATTGCTCCTGTAGGAACCCTGAAAGTCTCTTTCCAATGAAGAAATCACCATCACTCATTTATCCACTCTCCCAGGCTGAGTTGAGTCCTCAAAACAAAGGCTGTGGAGCAGATGACTCTGCTCCTCTTTCAGGTTTCCACCTAGGCCCAGCATCTTTCAGAAGGCTCTTCCCTCAACCATCCTGGCCTTTGCAGGGGCAAGAAGACACCACCACCAAGAAGGATAAAATAAGTTTTTATTTATAGTCTTATAGTAAAGGGGGAAGCCTTAACTTGCAAGACAATTCTTCGGCAGTATGTACAACATACTTTTTATTTCCATGGAATGGAATCAAACACGGACTGAGACTACACAGAATACACTAGAAATCAGCAAATGCAGGAAACAGAGTAGGAAAAAGACAAAGAAATGAGGCCTAATGACACAAAGCCCTTCACTGGGATCTGTTGACCACAGCCAGAACCAGGGCTGGATCACACAATGGAGACAGGTTCCAGGACAGGAGAGGACGTGGGGAGAATAAGGAAAGGGCCACATGGGGGTGCAGGTTTAGTACCAGGTAAATTGCTCTTGGTATTTACATACAAAATCAGATGGATCTATTTCTTAGAAATACACACGAAAAGAAAGGAAGATTTGATCATTACTTTATGAATCTGTCGCTTTGCAGTATCGACATCATCAGAAATAGGGACAATTCACTCAGATTCAAATTTCAGTAGCAGGAAATAAATATCAAAACATTATCACTGGCCCTCAATACAAAACCTCTACCCAGCCCAAGGCTCCCTCCCTGTCCCACCCCCCAAATATCCACCCCTACCACTCCCTGGTAGCTGCTGCTTCACTGCTGCTGTCTCCTATACATACCACAAGTGTCATGTGGTCCTCCACAAGGCAGGTGCTGAAGATTTAATCAGCTGGTTGGGAGAATTGAGTGAAACATGCCAAGGACTCTGCAAATCTGTCCCCACTTCCCTTTTACACCACAAACTTCTTCAAGGATCTTGTCTTTAAACAGAAGCGATAAATACCTTTCCAGAAAAAAATCCTCACAAAGGAGAGGGGGTGATTCTGATCATCCCAACCTGGTCATCTTCTCAAAGTAGAGCAGTTCACAGATTCACAAAGTCTATCAAATAGAAGTGAGGGGACCAAGAGAGGTCTGGCAGGGCAGGCATCCTCCAGGCATGGGCCCAGTGGGGCTGGAGGAGCTGGTGGGGTGGGCAGGACACCATGTGCTCAGGTCCGGCCGTCCGTCCGTCCTCCACAGAAAAAGCTGCCAAGTTGGGGTATTTTGGTTTAAAAATTCCTGGAGGGGACAGGGAATCCCTGAAGGGAATACATTTAAAAAAAAAAAAAAAGTGGAAATGGGGAAAGAGAACGAGAGCTATTGTCCAAGAGCTTCTATGTAAAAATAAAAATTAAAAAAAAAAAAAAAGAAAAAATGAGTCTCTTAAATGGTTCTGGGGCTTCTAACGATGAACTGAGAGGAGGATGGGACGACGGAGGAGACAAGACAGTTTTTATTGCTGGCTGCCCCACTCGGCTTAGCTGGCCTCCATCCGGAGTTTCTTCCTGCTTTGGGGCTCTTCAGGCTCTGACTCTGAGCTGGAGTCTGAGCCCCCATCGAAGGCAGAGATGGTGCTGCCCTTGGCGTTGGTGTAGAGGTTGTTGTCTGAGGAGGGGTAGTTGGTCTGCAGCTGGGCACTCGACCTTGCCTTCTCCAGTGCACGGACTAAAAGGCAACCAAGGCAGAATGTTACCACCTTCTGGAGACGGGGCAGCAACCAAGTCTTGACTCAGGGTCCAGCCTGTTCTTCCTAAGGGCTTGCTTGCTGGCCCTCAAGGCTCAGGGTGGCTCAGGAGCCACGCCCTTCTGGTGGCTGCTCCACCCGCACACTTCACTTCCCCTCTCTCCTTTCCCAGCTGGGGCATCATGGCCAGCTCCTCTACCATCCTACCCAACCCTAAAGAGAGAGAAGGCTTGTGATGTCACCATCCTGCCATGGAAGCCCAGTGTAGAGACCAGAGCATGAGCTCCCTGTGGGATTCAGCAGTGCGAAAACAGAGAAGCCCGCCCAGCAATGCTGGGCTCCACAAGCGTATGAAGACCCCACAATAGCCAGAAAGGAGGACATAAGATGTCCTGGCCAAAGAGAAGTTTTAGCTTAGCTCTCATGTACAAGATCCATTTGGAATGACAAGCTGGACACTTGGAAGCAAGTCACCAATACGCACAAAATACCTGGGCCTTTTGACAGATAGCCCCTACATGCAGGCTGTTCAGCCCATTAACCAACCCACTGCCGCCGCCCACTGCCCATCCCTTGGTTCAGCTCAGCTTGAGCCTGGAAAGTCAACCCATTCATTTTATTTATTTCATTTGAGGTGTTCTAACCCAGGTGGTTACTTGCATTTCCTTTTACTTGCATCTTCCATGAGGGAGGAAGAGAAGTGAATTCCCCAGGAACAAAGAACTTGATCAGCTCTCGCTTTCCCCTGTGGTTGTAGGAAAAGGCGGGTGTGAGCATTGGAGAACAGCAGGGGCCTGGCCCATAGGCTGCCCTGATTGGACTACCATTGACAATGGGGAGGGCTCACTGTCCCTGAACACCTGGAGTTTCTGGTACTTACGCAACACATTCCACTCCAAAGGACTTCAAAGCTCTTTTGAGACACCTGATGCCAGGTGTGACCCTATTGTAGGCAGAGCACCTAAGCCCCAAGAAGAGGAGAGATCAGGCCAGGAAAGATACATGCCTCTGGATGTCCAACTCCCTAGCCTACACTGTGTCCTCCCTGGCGGCTCAGGTCCTTCCTCAGGACAGCACTACCACTCAACTACACAGGCCAGAGACTGTTTCTGAGGCACGAAACTGGCTCTGACTGCAGGCCCAGGTGTGAAAGCCCTGGCCTGGCCAGAGCACAGCAGGGCCAAGCGCCCCATGAGCTTGGCTGCTCACCTTGCTGCTCCAGAAGAGCGTTCTGCCGCTTGAGGTCATCGATATCTTGCTGGTGCGTGTGGTTTTTCCTTCGCATATACTGGATATACTCTGTGGCTTTGTCTAGGATTTGGGCCCGGGATGCCTGTTGCAATATGAGAGAAAAACGAAGAGGACAAATAAAGACCAAGTCTGGACAATGAAGAAACATGCCTTTCCATAGCCAACGTCATAGGGAGCAAAAAATAGGAGAGTGAGGTAGGCAAGGTGGAGGAAAAGAGTAATGCCTAGTTATGGCCTTTACAGCAAAGTGCCCAGTGCCTCACAGAGCTTACCTCATAAGCACAGTTTCAGAAGGAGACTACCAGGAACTCAGGGCTCAGAGAAGCTCAATGGCCTATTCAAAACCATCAGCTAGATAGTGACAGAACCTGGGCTCAGCCTTGGGTCTGTCTGATGCCTGAACTTGTACTCCTCCCATCCCCTGGTTCTTTAGGTTGTTTTATAAAGTCTTCAACTTGGCTATGTCTGAAAACATCAAGATACTGCTTATATGAAAGCTTGGGCCACTCACTCTCTGCTAGGACCTGGCTACACACAGCTGGTCTAGACTGACAAGAGCATGATCTCTTGTCATGAGCTGGCTTGGAGTAGGAGTAGGTACCATGCTTTCCATCAAGGTCTCAGACTTTAGCCAAACCATCAGACAATTGTTAACTAGGCCCAAGTGAATGCTGCTGTTGTGGCAGTATTTCAGCCTTTCCAGCTAAAGAAACTTTTATGAAAGCTGTTGGTGTTTGATGTCAACACAGGAAGAGCATAAGATTGAGACATCTCAGGAGGCAACCACACCTCTACAATGGCTGTGGGCAACCTGGCACTGCCCTGTCAGAGGGAGTTAATAAGCCAACAAAATAAATGGCAAGCTACTGTGCCCCCTGGAAGCCACGATCATCTGGGAGATTCCCTCCTAGCTGCAAGCAGGGCCAGAATTACTTTTGGTGGGCCAGCAAGCCAGCCACTTTGGTAGAATGATATGAAGGTAAGAAAAGCCAAGGCAGGGCAATCTAGTACCTGAAGTATGGTGTTCATGCCACAGAGGCTTCTGAGTAGTAGGAAACCTCTGCACCCACAAGGGAAGTTCTTGACAATTTTCAATTATACCCCAAGTGGTTCTAAATAACCAGAGCACAACAGCAGGGGAAAGGCAAAGAAAACATCCACACTTGGCTAGCAAAACTAAATTTACTTGTATTAAATCCTAACAATCTCAATTTCTAGACCTCTCTGGGTATCAGAGAGGTGTGCAAGGCCTGAGTTTATTCACTAGTCCTTGAAAACAACAGAGTTTCCTGACTCCTTTTTCTTAAAGTGGAAATCATTCATATTCAATCAATCATTTTTATCTGGTGAGAATTATGTGCAAGTGACTGGGCAGATACTGTAGGGAAACAAAATGTATTAGTCATGGTTTCTTTGCCCAGAAGCTTACTATCTAGTTGAGAAGTATTATCTACATACAGATAAATCACAGGCAGTGCTGAGTATAACCTCACTAGGACAGATTACAAAGGCCATGGGAAAGATGGTTCCTGGTAGGGTAATTCCCTACTGTGCACAGGCACTGGCCTTGGTACTACACATCTGTCTGTCTCCATCTCTGTCTCTGTCTCTCTCTCAAGGGCAATGGTAAGAGAGAAGCCAGGTGTGTTTCCTTAGCCTCTGGAGGAAAGAGGAGACCTAGCAATGGATGCTTCAGATGTTGTCCTTCTGCAAAGGACATTCTAGGGATTAAGTGATAAAATGGAGGAATTAATTAGAAGGAACTGATTAAGATACCCTCCCTCTCTGGACACTAGAGATGGAATTAAAACTGGTCAGTGGAATGTGATTGGGAGTAGAAGCTGGGGACTGAGGAGGCAGAGGCCTGGCATTGTCATTACTGGGTGTCAGCCCTACAGACACATTCTTGTCCATGGCCACTCCTTATCTGACCAGAAATTCTCTATAACCCCACCTCTTAACCTTACCCTGTCACTGGTGTCACTACTGTGCATATTTACACTCCATCTCTTATTTATTTAGCTAGTTGTTTATTTATTTATTTATTGGTGGTATTGAAGTTGAACTCAGGACCTTGAGACTAATAGGCACAGACACTCTACTACTTGAGTCACGGCCCTAGTCCTCTCTTACTTGTTTTTATTTAAAGACAGGGTACTACTATGTATCCCAGGCTAGCCTTGAACAGGGGTGTGCCAATCTCTCTTTAAATTTGCTCTTTGGCCGTACTGTAGCTTGAACTCTGGGCCTCACTAAATTTGCCTATTTTAAAGCTTTTTTTTTTTTTTCAAATGTTCCCAGAAGGCAACATTAGCTCTTATTTAACTACCTGTGTGCATCTGGGACAAGGAAAGAAAAGCACAATTTCTGAAACCAGACAGCACTTGCAAATGCTCCACGATGGCTTCTAATAAATGACAGACCGAGGGGCAGGCCGTGTGCTCCCCGGTTTCTCCTTCAGCTATTTATACATGAAACCAGGAAATCAGTATCAGGAAGTGAAAAGTGAGCAGTGAGCATGGCAAAACAAGCCAGAAAAGGGAACAAGAGCTCATGAGTGAAGGCAGTCTCTACTTCAGGGAAGTTTTTACGTGAAGAGAGAATTCATAGATGCTCAAAGCAGAGTGTCTTGAGAACAAGAGGTCCTCAAAGAAGGTTGGGTTAGTCAGAACAAGACCTCCAGAATGCTAAGCACAGCCCTTCCTCCATCCCCTGATGAAAACAGAAGTGTTCTTGGTCACTGGAGGTACCCCTGACCCCTCAGCAAGTCCAAAAGAATGGTTCAGAGTTTAACTTTAGTTTGTCCTTCCTAGGATACTCAACGAGAATTAAAATCCAACAAGAAAAAATTAAAAATCACAAAATACAGAATGTCCCAAAATTTACATCTAGTCCAAGAGAAAAACAAAAGACTGAATCTAGAAAATACAAGATTCACCTACAAAGCCCTCCTCCAATCTTTCCTAACTACACAAGATCATGTGGCCAGCCATAGTGGTAAGGTGTGAGCAGGCCCTTCCTTGCCTTTATGAGTTTATATGTGCACAGTAAAGATGAAGCCAGCATGAAACCCTGGGGTTTGTGGCATGGACTATGGATTGACCCTGGGCTTTCGGTTTCTGTCTTCTGAAAAGTCTCTCAGTCAGCTGAGTCAACTGATAATAGTCACGTGAGTGTGCTGGCCAGACAAGACCTGGCAAGTCAACTGTCCACAGATCAAATGTTGCCTTAGGAAGGACCTAATAACTTTTTTTCATGCTACTTTTTACAATCAGAAGGCACTAATTCTAATTTTGCCTTTCTGAGCAGAAATAGCTCTCCTGAAGAGTTTTGACACAGCCCATGGGATAGTACAGACTATGACTAAGGGACTGAAGAAGTAGCTGGGCAGCCAGATCTTGTTTCAAATCCATATTTGCACACAGCATTGGCAATCACAACAACGATGATGATGATGGTGGTGGTGTAGTAATAATGGCAATAGCTGACACTTATGGAATACTTACTAAGTGCCAAGCACTCTCATATAATCCTTTGTGTATCATTTGCTGTATTTTAAAACAATAAAACTGAGGCACAGAGCTGTAACTTACCCAATGCCATATAACTTGTAAGAAGCAGAGTCAGAATTTGGACATAGGCCTGCAGGATACCTGTATGTTGGGAAGAGGTGGTTGTAGAACTAATTTTAAAAGATCAACAGAACTGCATGGACAGTGTTGTCATGGAAGGGGAAGCAGGAAGGAGGAGGATCTTGAAAGAGCCACTGATTTGCCTAGAAGTTTGCCAAAGAAAATCCTAGTGAAGATGGTTTCCTCAGGAAAGCTGAAGATCAACAGTGAGTCGTCTCCACACACGTGCAAGCGTGAACTGAAAGCTAAGCAGTGATGAAGACTAGTCATTAGAATTTGACTGAAAAGAAGTGAAAAACAGTGGCATGTAATAATAGCAGCATGAATTCTAGGTGCTGGTGGCTCACACCTGTAATCTTACCTAGCTGGTAGGTTGAGACAGGGAGGATGGTGGTTCGAAGTTAGCCTGGGCAAATAGTTCATGAGACCCCCATCTCCAAAAAATAACCAGGGCAAAATGGACTGGACATGTGGCTCAAGTGCTAGAGCCCCTGCTTTGTGTTTGCGAACGCAAAACCCTGAGCTCAAATCCCAGTCCCACCAAGCAAAAGGTTTTTATATACAAGGCAAGAGCTCCACACATTTCTGGAGTTGTAAATCTCCATAGAAAGCTAAGCTGCTTTAGAAAGCGGGTGGGGACAGCCGTCTAGAGCACTAACATTATGAACCTAAGGTCTCTTGGGAGGTCCTAGTGCTGACCTGAGAAGCAGTGATCTTAGCTGGGTTTATCCCTTTGCCCCTCCACTGTCAAAAGCAGGTCCTCACTTGGTGTGGTGTGGCACACTTATAATCCTGAATTTGGAAGGTCAAATCATGAAGATCTTGAGTTCAAGGTCACCCTGGGCTACACAGCAAAACCCTGCCTCAAAACAAAAAAAATAGATCCTACTCAGCTGTTTCAGTTGTCTTGACCCCCTAAGAACCAAAATAATACATCTGGAGGAATGAAAAAAGAACTGCTGCCAAATGCTAGTGGCTCATGCCTGCAATCCTAGCTACTTGGGAGGCAGAGATAGGGAAGGTCACGGTTTGAGGCCAGCCCATGCAAATATTTTTCAAGACCCTATTTCCAAAATAACCAGAGCAAAATGGACTGGAGGAGTGGCTCAACTAGTAGAGTACCTGCTTTGCAAGTGTGAAGCCCTGAGCTCAAACTCCAGTCCCAAATAAATAGTTACACTATTTATTTTAGAAAAACAGGACCATATAATTTCTGAAATGTAAAATAGCTTTTGCACATATTAAGGTAAGAGGGTTGGGCAAAACTGATACACATTTCCATTGAATAAACCATCTTCTAAAAACAAACATGAACAAATCTGTACAACAAATTTGGGTCTGTGCTAACTACTTCATTCAAAAATAGAACCCGATCAATGCCTGCTGGGGCTGGAAGACTGTGAGCTCCACTGAAGGATTCCTGCTATCAGGCCCTCAGTTGGCTGAGTAG